AAAAAAAAAAAAAAAAAAAAAATATATATATATATATATATCAATTTCAAATGCATCAATGAGGTATAACTTTTTATGCATTAATCAATTTATCAATCATATTTACTAAACATTAGGTGACTCACCTAATGGCATATAAGTTATTTAAAAAATCAGTTCTGATAATATTGTAAATTTTTACTATTCTTAATATTCTCAAGTATTATTGTGTGTCGTGCTGTTACAAGAGTTCGAGTTATTCTATTTGATTTTTTTTTCAGCCATCCTCACCAGAAGTGACAATGGAGCGAAATGTATTCCTTTATCGCGCCTATATAGCGCAAAGGAAGTTTCGCGTGGTGTTAGATGAGATCAATAATGCATCTCCACCAGACTTGCAGCCATTAAAGACCTTAGCCGACTACTTCGCCAATCCTCATCGTCGGGAAGCCATAGTAGCTGAGCTAGATAAAGCAGCCGATCATTCAAATTTAGATAATCATAATTTCCTGATCGTGGCCGCGACCATTTACTATCACGAGAAAAACCTGGAGGCTGCTCTCAGAATATTGCACGATGTGGATCACTTGGAGTGCATGGCACTGACGTTGCAGATATATCTCAAGATGGACCGTTTGGACCTAGCTCGCAAGGAGCTCAAGGCGATGCAGGAAAAGGACGACGACGCTACCTTAACTCAACTTGCTCAGGCGTGGTTAAACATAACTAGTGGCGGTGACAAGCTGCAAGACGCCTATTACATCTTCCAAGTGAGAAAAGAGTCATTGATTCTGGAATATATTGAGGCTCCCGAGCTCCTTCGCCGCGGAACTCTTGATCGATAACATCAGAAGCGAGGAAATGCATGCTCGAAACTCCTGTGAAATACGTCGAAATGAAAAGATCCGCAAGGTGATACCTGCAATCAATCGGGCACATCTGTAAAACAGTCCGAACACTTTCCTTTTGTTTGAATAATCAATAAATTAACATGACATGCAACCTCTACCTACCTACATTTCTTCTGAATACATGATTCTGTCGTGCTAGTTTTACGGCTATTTGATTGTTGATTGATTGTTAGGATAAAAGGAAAGTGTTCGAACTATTTTACACCGCTCGATTGATTGCAAGTATCACTTTATGAATACATTTCTATGTATTTAGCAAGAATTTTTAGCGTTCGTATTTCTTCTGACATTATAAATCAAAATAACCGCGGCGGAAGGCTAGAAGTCTTAAGATAAAATTATCTTTCCTTCTCTCACGTTTTCATCTGCTTTACTGAAATTACTCAATTCTCTCATTTGTCATTAATAATCAATATAAATTCTTTCAGGAAATGATCGACAAGCATTCGAGTACGAGCATGTTGCTGAACGGGCAGGCTACTTGCTTCATTGGACAAGCTAAATACGAGGAGGCGGAGGCCGCCTTGCAGGAGGCTCTCGACAAGGATAGTAATAATCCAGATACGTTAATCAACATGATCGTTCTTTCCCAACACATGGGGAAACCGCCGGAAGTGGCGAATCGTTATTTGAGCCAGTTGAAAGATTCCCATTTAGAACATCCCTTCGTCAAGGAGTACTTGCAGAAGGAGATAGAATTTCACAGGCTCAAAAAGCAGTATTCTTCCTCCGCCTGAGTGTTTCTCAGTAGATTATGGCATTCCATGGGATAAGGATCGATAGAACTCGCGTGTCGATTGTATGGACAGATCTAAGCGTGGCTTGCAAGCGAGATTGATTCCAGTGATCTGAAGGCCTCCCGATGAACAAAGCTTGTCTAGTTCAGCTAGAAAATCTTCTGAATATCTAAATCGATACGATATAACTATGCAGTGCGTTTTGAGCTTAGCGCAGTTTAATTGTTGACAATACGCACTTCTGTTATGAAGTTTCTCTTTTGTCGAGAGCGGTGGCGCGTCCACGCGACATTAGCTTATAGGCCTTTGAACACGATATACAGCTTTCACGACGATAACACGCATATATTGAACTCCAAACATTCTAACGATTTCTCGCAGAGTAGAAAACAGTGATGATTCTTCTCTATATAGATTATCTCCATCTTCGCGTATGTATGCATGTTACTCTCGAATTGAGACACTTTGTTTTCTTTCCCTTTGTTTTTTCGTTGAAGTAGTTACGCTGACAGGAAATAGAGACATAGGAAAAAATTGCATTTGGGCGATGGGGACGTTCGAAATCGTAAGATCGGAGCCGTGCTAATTACACGACTGACAAAATCACGACCTCTAATTCACTTTATCTTAATGTTATATATACATCATAATCACACAAAAGTATGGCTGCCATTTTATAAAATCATAAGTTATAAATGAAACTAAATAAAACGTTAGTTTCACGTGCAATCGTCTCCCTTATATTGATATTCGTATTACTGACTTAAAGATGTATAAATAAGTGAAATATTGAAATAAAATATTTCATACAATTATGAACATACAAACCGCAACATGTCTTTCTGCATTTCTCAAAATACCTTGATATTTGTAGGTACTTGATGAAAATTATTTTGTCGTCAATGTTGATAAAGGTTTACTCATTAATTTCTATTAATTTTTATGAACAGAACTTCGATTTTTACTGTAAAGAAAAAATTAACTTTGAATTCCCTATAAAATGAACTTTCGCAAATTTCCTTTTTTTAACACAGACGAACTTGTACAAGTAACTGGGTATGTTTGAGGATTTAGTATAAAATGAGCCATTAATTTTGAGTGAGCAACGTAAGTCATACTTTACAATAAGTGACAATACTAATGAGAGATCGTGCAATCAGGGATTTGAAGTAAAATTTCAACAAACTGTCTCTTTGTGTAATTTCCAAAATTAATGGCATAAATAACATACACACAGGCAGACATGTGTAAAACAATTTAATTCGTTTTATTGGTGGCGGTGGGTCTTAAAGAACCGTACTATATGCAACAGAGCACACTGATTTTACAACACAACAAGTGTCAAACTGTACATAAAACAAAACCATTCTTGTATTAAATCTTGTCTGTGTATGTAAATGTGTTCGGTAGAGTTTATATACATAAAATTATATTATTTCTGGGTATATTTAACGTACGAAGCATATATCAGTTATAATTACGATTAATAGAGTAAGACCAAAGTGTATGTATACATCGTTAAATTAATGTTAATCAAAGGCTGGATGTATTGAGTCTACGTGATATGACTCTCTTATTTAAGTTATTAAAAAAATATCCATTATATAATCTTATAATTATAGATTCATTATAATTATAATTATCAATTCATATATATATATATATATATATATATATATATATATATATATATATATATATATATATATATATATATATAT